TCCTGTGAAGCGCTTTGATGACCCGATAAGGCGAGGGTGTACTGGAAGGTGAATTGATTATGTGTGTGTGTGTGTGTGTTGCGGGCGAAACCTGGCAGCCAATTGTGCCCAGCAACGTCCCACAAACAGCCGTGGAATGAAGTGCAAGGATTATCATTATTGTTGTACTGCCCAATAAATTCCCAGCTCATTCTTACCCCCCCCCACCACCCACCCGGTTCAATTGGCCTTTCATCTGCCGCTTTCCCAATAAAACCCGGCTGTTTGACTGTATAAATTCCAAGCTTATCGTTTAACCTGGGATGGAAGTGTTGAGGGCAAGTGACGATTCTTTGGCAAGTCACAGAGTTCAAGGTGTGGCTCAGAAGTTTTGTGGGTTCAGGTCGCGGGGGGGGGGGCTTTGAGCTCACACGGTCTAGGCTGAGACTCCAGCGCAGCGCTGGTGGGGAGAATGGGGGTGCGGAGTGGGCGCTGTATTGTCAGAGACGCCGTCCTTCGGAAGAGAGATCTTGCGGCGCTGTTGGGAAAAGAGAAGGTAGTTTCTTTCTTTCACTCTCGGTGTCCCTCCACCCCACCGCACCCCACCCCCCCCCAGATACAATTGCTTGTTCACATCACGGCTGCGTGTGGGGACGTCGCTGTGTGCAAATTGGCTGCCGCTTTTTGCGAAGGTTAATATTAACGTGGTGCCAAGGGGTATCAAGGGATACGGAGCAAAGGAGGGTAAATAGAGTTGAGGTACAGATCAACTGTGATCTAATTAGAATGGTGGATCAGGCTCGAGGGGCTAAATGGCCTCCTGTTTCTATGTACCAATAGAGGTTTGGAGTTGCCCAACAGCTGCAACGATTACAATGTTTACAGTCTGTATCGTATTTACATTTGACTTTGCGAATGCGTCCACGCTCCACCCGAGACCTGCAATCGCGCCTCCGCTGGCAACAACAACAACTTGCACTTGTATGGCGCCCCCTCCACGCAAGGGTGGCGTCTCAGTGCGCTCAACAGTGGCGGAGCCGGACTGTTTGTGGGGACGCTGCTGCGCGCAATTGGCTTCCGCGTTTCACCCACAAAGCACACTCTGCCTGTGAAGTGCTTTCAGACGTTTCAACCGTGTGATAAGGCGCCGTATCAAGTGCAAAGGATTATTATTGTTATGATAAAAGTGAGGAAGTGATGTTGAATTTCTACAAAACTTTGGTTAGAGCACATTTGGAGTATTAATAATAATCATCCTTGCGTTTGACATAGGGACGCGTCAAGTCTTCGCGACGTCTCAGAGCGTTTCACAGGATATAAACGCGGCAGACAATTACGCACAGCAGTGACAATTCTGTCCAATTCTGGTCTCCACACTATACAAAGGATATAGCAGTAATGGAAAGAGCACAGAGTAGGTTTACTTGGACTACGTCAAGGCTTGCAGGTTGCTGCTATCAGGATAGACTGGATAGGTTAGGCCGTTTTTCACTGAGAAGAGACGATTAAGGGGGAAACTTAAAAGAGGTGTTTAAAATTATCAAAGAGTTTGATAAGGTTAACATAAATAGGTGGGGAAGTCTGTAACCAGGGACACAAGTATAAGATTGCTGGTCGCAATTGACTGCCGGGTTTCGCCCGCAAAATACACAGTCACTACACTTTACAGTATGTTCTGTAAAGCGCTTTGAGACGTCTCGATGACTGGATAAGGCGCTATATCAAATGCAAAGATTATTGTTTTTATGATAGGAGTTTGCTATAACATGTAGCCATGTACGGATTCATTGGGTGTCACCCCTATCCTCCCTCTCCCCCCCACTCCCTTCCCCCACCCCCGCATTAGATTTGCCTCTCTTCCCTTTTAAGTATTGTAAGCGAAGACCAAACCGGATGAGGCAGTTAATGATTAGCGAGGACACGTTGCCGGGAGAGTTGTCAGGTTACAGCAGATGTGTTTATGTCCAAACACGGGGACATCTCTGCATCGCTCTGTCTCTCTCTCTCTCTTTTCCGTGGCTCGCTGGGTGTGGAACAGAGAGAGAGAGAGAGAAAGAGAGAGAGACGTTCATTTCAAAATTAAAATTAATTCAAGTTAAAATCGTTGGAAACGGCCTTCATGGAGGCAAAGGGGGGGGGGAAGGAGCTCCTGTTGGCATTTCGCTCCGAGAATCTTGGAACTTCATTCCACCCTGGATTGAAACTGGAAGATATATATATATATATATATAGGGTGGCAGCGATGTTGAGTTGTCCTGTGCAGCGTTTGCTTCAAGGTTTAGCGATCACGCCTTCTCACCCCCCCCACACCCCCCCCACACCCCCACCCCGTGGCACTCCCACCCCCTCACAGGGACGTTTGTGGAAAATGTGTGTCAAAAAACACCCCCAACAATTTGGAAGGAATGGTTGCTTGCGCATTTAGTGATAAGGAGAATAATCTTTCCATTTGATATCGCGCCAAGAATTTGCATTTGTGTAGACGTCTCAAAGCGCTTCACAGGATATACTGTAAAGTGCAGTGACCGTGCATTTTGTGGGTGAACCGTGGCAGCCAATTGCGCACAGCGACGTCTCACAAATGACCGTTGATTGAGTGATCAGATTGGAAGTGACGGGGAGATGATTCCCTGCTTATGCTTTTTCCCTCACTCTGTTCTGTTTTTTTCTGATTCCCCCCCCCCCCCCCCCCCCCCCCCCCGCCAGTTCCTTCCCGCCTGAGATAAAGAGAAGGGAAGGTTTCTCATCTTCCCAGAGGGCTTGGATGCCGTGGGAGGATTTGGTTTGTTACTGACCAGGAAACATTACCTCCAGTGATTCCCGTCTGATTGTGTGTTAGAGACATCCTCAGCGTCAGCACAGGATGTGCCGCAGATGGAATAGTTTTGCAGGCAACACACATCCCGTTCCTAGGCAATGTAGCCCACGCTATCTCTGTCACACTCTCCCTCCCTCCCTCCCTCACTCACTCACTCACTCACTCTATCCCGCTCTCTCTCTCTCACTCACTCAATCCCACTCTCACTCACTCACACTCTCTTACTCTCTCACTCACTCACTCTATTCCGCTCTCACTTACTCTCTCTCTCACTCTTACTCTATCCCACTCTAACTCACTCACTCACACTCTCTCTCACTCACTCTATCCCGTTCTCAGTCACTCACTCACTCATTCTCTCTCTCTCTCTCTCTCTCTCACTCACTCACTCACTCACACTCTCTCCCTCTTACTCTCTCACTCACTCACGCTCCCTCACTCATTCCCTGTGTGGTTTATTCTGTGCTGTTTGTGATTGGATTGCGATAGGGCTATAGGAAAGAGAGAGAGAGAAAGAAAGAGGGAGAGAGAAAGGAAGAGAGGAAAGAAAAAGAACATAAGGAAGAAAGGAAGAAAGATATAAAGAGGAACGAGAGGAAAGAGAAGAAACGAAAGAGAACGAGAAAGCAGGAGAGGAAAGCAAGAGAACGAGAGGGCAGACACGAAAAAAAGAGGAAAGAAACGAGAGACAAAAAAAGTGAGAGAGAGGACGGAGAAAGAATAGAGCAGGGACGAGAGAGAGAAAATAAAAAGAAGAAGAAAGAAAGAGCAAGGGAGAGAAGGAAGCACTGCTGGTGGCGCAGTGGGTTTGGCTGGTGGCAGTCAGCTCCAGCTCTAAGTGGTGCTAAAGGAAGTGCAGTAATAACTTTCCTGCTGTTCCCAACAGTCTCTAAACCTGTTCAGTGTGTGGAGCTGGTTTACGTTAGCCGAGGGAGGGAGAGAGGGAGAGGGAGAGAGAGAGAGAGAGAGAGAGAGGGGGGGTGGAGGCCAGGAGCCAGGCAGGGCTTGACGTCAATGTGAGGAGATTCCCTGAGCGCATACGTGTTACATACGCTTCCCTCCCGTTTCCTGGGACGCATGCCCCCCTTAGAGACATGGCTGGTTACGCATTTCGGCAGCCAGGCTCAGAGCAGCGCAAACAGGGTAACCTTGTCTAAACCATCTGCGGTGCTAGTGGGTAGCCGTGGCAACAGGAAGAGGCCATTCAGCCCCACAGAGCCTGTTCTGTTTCTTATTAATAACAACAATAATAATCCTGGCATTTGATACAGCCAGCGCCGCGTCACGTCTTCGAGACGTCTCAAAGCGCTTCACGGGATAACACTGTAAAGCGGAGCCACCGTGTATTTTTGTGGGCGACGCGCGGATGTGGGCAAGGCTGGTGCGGGAGAGGACACGGCCTGCAGGGGAGGGTTTGGGATGGTTTGGAGCTTGTGGAGCTAAAGATTCCTGGATGCCAGCCAGTGTGCTTGCAGGCCAGATTCCCACGTGGGCTGCTTTTGACTCAGACAGTAAATGAGTCACCACAGACTTATTGATTTAACTGTCCAAGGACCATCAATTTACGGTTAATGTGCAAATCAGGAAGTAAAGCACTCGCTGTCCTTCACTCCACTTCCTATTGCGCTAGTTGTCAGCGTGGCTCGGCCTCTCACGCTCTCACCTCTTTCGAGCCCCCCCCCCCACCACACACATCGGGGGTCTTTGAGCTCGCAGTCTAGGCTGACGTTCCAGCTGTGGGGTGAGTGGGGGGTGGGAGAGAAAGAGAGAGCGCTGTACTGTCAGAGACGCCGTCCTCTGGATGAAACGTTAACCTGCACTCACCATCTGTGCCCTGTTCTGGCGGACGTTAAAGATCCTGGGGCACTGTAGGTAAAAGAGACAGGAGTCTTCCCCCCCCCCCCCCCCACCCCAGACAGATAAAATTGTTCATTCACTCACTGTTTCGGGGACACTGTGCGTGGGGACGTCGCCGTGCGCAAATCGGCAGCTGCGTTCACCTACAAAAATATGCAGAGTCACTGCACTTCACAGTAATTCCTGCGAAGCGCTTTGAGACGTCTCGTCTCGGGGGTGAAGCGGAGGGATAGAGGGAGAGAGTTTCACAGCTTCGGGGCTGAAAGCGCGGCCTCTGATAGCGGAGGAGAGACGGGGGTGTTGGGCCTGGGGTGAGTTTCTGAGGGGTGTGTGTTTTTTGTCACAGAGAGTGAGAAGGTCGACACGGAGCAGGAGGTGCAGGACATCGGGGGGAGAGTCATGGCCGAGCCCGACTACATCGAGGAGGAGGACAGCGCTGAGCTGATCAGACCCCGTAAACTGATCAACCCCGTCAAGTCCTCCAGAAACCATCAGGACCTGCAGCGAGAGCTGCTCATCAACCAGAAACGGTAGTGACACCATCACCGGGGAGATGTATAGTGGTGGGTGTGTGGGGGGGGGGGCGTGGAGGCAGGAGAAGGGGGGGATGCGTTGTGGGGGGAATAGTTTAAACCAATGGTGGCCGGCTGAGAGGCGGGTGGGGTGGGGAACGCCACAGTTTGGTGAGGTTTTAGGAGGTCACAGATGGTGAGAGGAGAGAGGCCGTGAAGAGCTTTGAAGGTGAGGACAAGGATTTTGAACTCGATATTATTTGCCATCAAGAAGCAGCCCCTCTCCACGCTCTCCCCCCCGCCCCCCTCCCCACCCGAACATTGACACGGTTCTAGGTAAATGCGGGTTCGATCGGCAGTGCGTGTGTTCTCCTCAGGCTTTTCTCGATTGACTCACGGCACCAATGAAAGAAATACTCATCAATTAATTGGGTCGGCCTACAGTAAAGGTCGGCCGCCTGCTGGTCGACCCAATAAATATTCCCTCATTGAATTTTCAAAAGAATTTTATGCTGAAACTTCAATCCACGGCTGTTTGTGGGACACTGCTGAGCGCAACTGGCTGCCGCGCTTCTCTCACAAAGTGCCCAGTATTTACAGTATATCCTGTGAAACGCAGTCACTTCACTTTACGGCGTATCCTGTGAAGCGCTTTGAGACGTCTCGACGACGTGATAAGGCGCTGTATCCAATGCAGGGATGATTATTATTATTATAACAATCATATTATATTATTGTTTGGGCTCCCAGTTGGCTCTGTAAAGCTCTCTGAATCAACCTCCCAAAATTGTAGTTGTTAAGTTTGGGGATCTCCCGTGGCCCCTTTCCCCCTTCCCTCTGTCTCCCCTTGGCCTGGTTGCTCACGCTCTCTTCCCCCAACCCCACCCCACCCCCCCCCTCTCTCACACCCACAGGGGCATCGTTCCACAGAGCAAACCAGAGCTGCAACGGGTGATGGAACAGAGGAAACGGGATCAGGTGGTGAAACAGAAGAAAGAGGAAGAGGGGCAGAAACGCTCCGACCTGGAACAGGAGTTAATGAAGAGGCAGCAGAGACTAGACCAGGTAAGGCAACAAGCCCGACCGGCACAGACACCCCCGTGATAGCACCTCGGCTCCTGGTGGGTGGTGGGTGCGTGGAGCCTGGTGAGATGCAATGTTCAAGTCCAAGTCCTGTCTGTGACTGTTACGCCGGACGTTAAAGATCCCGCAACACTGTTAGAAAAGCAAAGGGAGTTTCTCCGCACCGTCACTGGCCTACATTCCCCAGGGTACAATTGACCGTTCACCTCTTGCCTCTTTGCCTTCGGAGCCCTGCAGCTGAGCGGTTTGAGCGCTCGCCTCGCAAGCAAGCGGACCCGGTTTGATTCCCAAACAGGGCGCGACCTCAGGCAATTTTCCTTACTCCACACACACACACACACACACACGTACCTCTGTTTACCAGCAGTCAGTTCCTACCCGGTTGTTAGTTGATTGACGGATCGGTTTGCCGGGGGTAATAATCCCTTGGAAAAAAAATTATAACTTGGTCACTCAATCCACGGCTGCTTGTGGGGGACGCTGCTGTGCCCCTCAATCGAATGCCCGCATTTCACCCACCAAAACGCACAAGTCACTACACTTGACGACATGATGAGGTGCCATGTCAAACGCAAAGGATTATTATTATGACGATGATATATCATTGAGGTGCAAGGGTCGCGGTGTGAAAGGGTAAACCTCTGGGTGATGTTCCAGATGGAGCAGGAGAAGCAGAGAGCGGAGGAGGAAGAGGAGAACGCGCCCGAGTTTGTGAAGATGAAGAGCAACCTGAGGAGAACCAAACTGGAGGAGAGCACGGACGTTCAGGTGTCCTAGAGAGAGGGAGGGAGGGAGCCAGGGGCGTGGAGCGGAACAAGAACTTTTTCCCGCTTTTCCCCCCACCACCACCCCGACTCCGAGGATTTGGTTGTGGCTGCCAAAGGCTTTGAGGAATTCCAGGCTGGAATGAGCAACGAGGCTGCCCTGAGTCCACAAGGAGGGGTGGGGGGCTGGGGGGGGGGTTGCAGAGTTCCATGTGCCTGACGGACACCTCGCCAACATTCCAGGGACGACAGACGAAGCCTTTTAACACAGCGACATTCAACCCAGGACTCCAGGAGGGGGCTGGGGGGGGGGGGGGGATGGGGGGAGAGAGAGATTGGGGGAGAGGGGAGTGGGGATAGAGGGAGGGTCGAAGGAAACTTTCCTTTGTCGGAAAAATTCGGGAAAATCTCACCCTGGTTTGGAATCCGCGCTCAGACATTCTCGACGGCCCCCGGATTCCCGTCGCGAGAGCTTCCGAGCGACCACTGGCCGGGACCTTCCAGACGCTTCCGCGATGCCTTGGTGTTTTTTCCTCTTTTGCGAGCGGGAGATGAACAAAATAAGGCAACTTCGACCTTCACACGACTCCCCCCCCCCCCCCCCCACCCCTCACATCTTTCTCCCTCCCCTCGCTCCCTTGGGTCGGGGAGTGGGGGTGTGGGGAAGTCTGTAGGGCCAGAGGCTCTGACCTATGTGAGGGGGGGTCAGGCACCCACCCTCGCCTCTTGCCCATCACCTCGACGTGGCATCCCTGTTTGCTGACTCAAAAATTCCACTTAGTTTTAGCCTGAAGCCTTGCGACCCTACGCAAAGTCCCCCCCACACCACCCCATCGTAGTCTCTATCCTCCCCAACAAGTCTCAACATTTCTCCTGAGCTCCCCTTCACTCTTACATCTTCATTCCCTCCCAATCCACTGATTACCCAACCAGTGGAAATACAATCACGTATTCCTCCGCAGTTGCCTTTCAAACCCCCCCACCCCCCATTCTCCTCCCCCCCCCCCCCCCCCTCAAATCCATTCCTCCATACTTCTGGAGAACCAACCCACGAGAGAGAAACTCCATCTCTTCCCAGCGTTCCTGATCACTCTCCTTGCTGCAGCCTTCAGTTCGTCTCTCTTCCTTATTTTTCTGTTTTGTTCCTAAAATAGTTTTGTGGGAAATCTCTTCAAGCTCAGACTTCCGCTCAGGGAAGCGGGTATCAGCCTGGCTCAGGCTCACTCTCACCTCTGAGTCAGAAGGTTGTGGGTTCAACCCCCACCCCATCCCCCACCACCCCCCCCCCGCCCCCACGTGGGGGGACTTTGAGATCCGCATTGTCAGAGACGCCGTCCTTTAAGTGAGACGTTAGACCTCACGCTCCCCTCTGTTCCCTGTTCAAGTGGACGTTAAAGATCTTGTGGCGCTGTTGGGAAAAGAGAAGGGAGTTTCCCCTCCCCTCTCTCTCTCTCTCTCCCCAGTGTCCCGGCTGACAAACCCCCCCCCCCCACCCCCCCGATAAAATCATTCGCTCACATCGCAGCTGTCTATATGCGGGGACGTCGCTGTGTGCAAAATCGGCTGTCGCGCTCGTCCGCAAAACACACAGTCACTACACTTGACAGTAAAACCCAGTGAAGAGGTTTGAGATGTCCTCCCGACTCGAAAGGAGTGTCAGGCACGAGGGTTATTGTTATTATTCATATTATTATTGTTATTATGAACGAATTATCGCTTCCGAAGCGAGACTGAGTTGAAGAGATTCCCACAGTTCCTCATCACCTCGGAGTCGAGGGTCAAAAGGAGTCGCGGCTGAGCCTAGGTGGAATTTTGGGGCCTCGGCTCTACGCCCAAAAGGACCTCGGAGGCCGGGTTTAAGATCTGCCCCCCCTGATGAGCCAGTTTTTTTTTACTTTTATCCATAGGAAGGCTATTACTCCAGCAGGGTAGGCTCCAGTGTTATTGATAGTTTGAATGTTGCTCTTTCTGGTGTTGTTGTTGTTGTTACCGTCATTTTTTTTTTGACTCGAGCTTGTCTGGCCAACGACGGAGTGAGTGAGTGAGCGAGCGAGCGAGCGAGTGACGGGACAAGGAATGGAATGGAAATGAAACCGGGCCTCCAAAAGCCCAACGCACGCACAACGATTCCCCCAATCTATTCTGTCACCGCTCTCACTGGGCGCCATCGTGGGTACCTGCACCTCCCTTCACATACCCCATATGTATTTTTTTTTCTGTTTGTGGGGACACTGCAGTCACTGCGCAATTGACTGCCGGGTTTCGCCCACAAAATATACGCACTTCACAATTGACTTTGCAGCGTATCCCGTGAAGCGCTTTGAGACGTCGTCTCGGAGACGTGATAAGGCGCTGTATCGAATGCAAGGATTATTATTATTATTGTTGTGTGAACCCCCCCCCCCCCCATCACCGGTTTAATTTCATTCAGTCAGTCACAGGCATTTAGTGTTTTATATCGAAATTCCTCCCATTATTCAGCGAGTTACAGAATTGTCTGGATTTCATTTCATAGGTATTACAGAGCTGGGTTACAGCTCTCGGTTCTTCTCTGGGCAGAATTAGCTGATCTCAGCCGGGGGGTAGCAGATGGGGCTGCTATTTGCCTCAATGACAACCCCCCTCTCCCTCCTTTGAACACACACACACACACACCATGTCCCGATCTACAGCCCCTTTGCAAACACTTATCCGTTTCTCTTTTAAAGAGAAGGGAATGGTAGACGGAGGGAATGGGGGAAGAGTGAGAGAGAGCGAGAGAGAGAGAGAGGGAGGAAAATTGGGGGGAGAGATGGGAATGGTGGAGGGAGGGAGGGACAGAGTGAATACGATAAGGGGTCACGGGAGAAATGTAGGGGGAGTGAATGAGAGGAGAGGGAATGGGAGGTAACAGGAGAAAAAGAGGGAACGAGAGAGAGAATGAATGAATGAGAAAGGAAAGGGATGAGAGAGAGTAGAGAGAAGTGGGGCAGTGAAGAGAGGAACCCAACGAAAGTTGCACAAACATAACATGAGGCGTATCTGTGCAGAAATGGGATGTCCGCCTGGTGAAAGTCGGATGTTCCCAGGTTGCGCAGGGTTTGGCTGCCTGGCCCAGACGAGCACCATGTGCCTTAACGTTAGTGATTCGTGGCTTCGATCCTTCGTTCCAAGTGCGAGTTTGTGGGCGTCCTGTCAAACTAGTCACCGCCTCCCCCAATCCCTGTCCCCCATCCCTCGGCTCTTGCCAACCCCTCAGCCCCTAATGCTTCCTGGAAACTTACCAAAATGAGGCGTTTCGCCCACAAAGTACACAGTCGATTCACTTTACTGCGAAGCGCTTTGAGACTTCTCGAGGACGTGATTGGGGTCCGCAATCAAATGCAAGGACTATTACGATCCTTGGCATTCCGGAAGGTACAGCGGCTGTGTTCCTGGGGCCGTTGGAGGTCAGCGAGGTCTCCTCAGAGCCAAAGTTGGCCCCAAGGTGACGTGTTCGTAATCGAGCCACAGCCCTCTCTCTCTGTGCCGGTCTCTGGTCCAGTTCCTGTGCCAGACGGGTGCGTTCGCAGTGATGACCCCCACAGCAAAATGTAAACCTCTCACCCTGACGTTTCCGAGTACCTTTTTCCCGCTGTTTGTTCCCAGTTAATAACTTTAAAAAAACGTCGCCTCGAAACCTTCCCGACTGAAGATGTCCTGTGTGGGCGTGAGTGCGTGCGTGTGCGTGTGCGTGTGTGCGTGTGTGTGTCGTTCTTGCCTTCTGTTGATGGTTCATTTAGTATTTACATCCCGAAAGAGGTGAAAAACCAGTGAATTTTCTTTTTTTAAAAAAAAAATAAAAAAAAAACAACAACAGCTTTTTATTTCGCTCTCCTCCTCTCGCGGAGTTCGATGGATTTGTGTCGGGTTCGACAGGTGAAATCGGGAGTGTGTGTCGTGTAGAAATTTACCTGCGTGAGGGTTCAAACCCGCGCTCATCAGATACCCAGTGACCAACCGGTGATTATCCTGAGTCAGAAGGTTGGGGGTTCAAGCCCCCACTGTCGGGTCTTGGCCCCAATGAGGCGCTGGGTGGGTGGGGGGGGGGTTTGCATTGATGGAGACCCCGTCCTTCTGATGAGACGTTAAACCTCACTCCCCGTCTGCCTGTTCAGGTGGACGTTAAATGACCCAAACATGTCAGAGGCAGAGCCAAAGGGAGGTGTTTTCTACACTAGGTGGTGGTATTGTCACAAACATATATATATGTGTGTGTGTGTGCGTGTGGCGTCCTGTAGATCAGTGGTTAGAGCACTCGCCTCACAAGCGAGAGGACCCAGGTTCGATTCCTGGGTCAGAGCGAAACAAACCTTGGGCAAGTTACTCCACGCACACTCGCAGCAAGTAGCAACCCGGTTGTTAGTCGATCGGCGGATCGATCGAGACGGAAAAGGCCCACGTCCATCCAGTTAGCCTTCTACCATCCTGGCAGTCGCTTGCACGTGTCGTGTCCCCAAGCTGTGTTTTGGGAGGGGGCAAGGCCGAGGGATTGGGGGAAGAGGGTTCCAAAGTTTCGAAGCAGAAAGCGACAAAAGGAAAGAGAGAGAGAGACAGAAAGAGAGAAAGTTTTGCCCACAAGATACACAGTCACTCCACTCTACAGGGCATCCTGCGAAGCGCTTTGAGGCATCTCGCAGACGCAATACAGTGGAGTCCTGTAGCTCAGTGGTTAGACCACTCGCTTTGCAAGTGAGAGACCTGAGTTCAATTCCAGGCAGAGGGCGAGACCTCGGGCAAGTTTCCTTACTCCACACAGAGCCTAATAATAATCCCTCCAAAACAAAACAATAATAAATTGGTCATTTTCAATCTACGACTGTTTGTGGGACATTGCTGTGCGCAATTGGCTGCCGCGTTCGCCCACAAATATACAGTCAATTCACTTTACAGTCTATTCTGTGAAGCGCTTTGGGACGTCGAGAAGACGTGAAAAGCGCTATATCAAATGCAAGGATTATTATTATTATTATAAGTCGCTGCATTAAATGCGAGGGATGTCATTATTATTATACAGAGATATTGTTTCCTAAAGGAAATCTTATCTAATTTCTCCTTGAAAAAAAAATCGCCACTTTCCGCTTCCACTGCCTGTCTCCCTGGGGGAGCCTCTTCCATCCGTGGACGACTCTCTTCGCTGACTGAATCTGTGCAGATTTAATCCCCTGCCCTGCGCTCGCTGTTTGCCAGTAGGAGATTGCTGTCTGAGCGCGGAGGTGAGGGCGCTGAGAGTGAAAGGTTAACCTTAGAACTCGTCCTTCTATTCCCATTAGCTCTCCTTCACATCACCTGCACTTCACCATTCTCTGTCTCTCTCTCTCTCTCTCTCTCTTGTGTGATTAAATGTCAGTCAGACCACACCGGCTCTGGAAGGAATAAAAGGCAGCGTACCGAGAGAGAGGAAAAGAGAGAGAGAAAGTGAGAGAGAAGGGGAAAAGAGACAGAAACCAAGCGAGGTACAGAGAGCGAGAGAACGAGACCGAAAGCAAAAGAGAAAGAGCGTTTAAAAAAACTGGGGAAAGAAAGAATAATGATAATAATAATAATAATAATAATTGCTCGACGGACAATCCTCAGCTGTTTGTGAGGATCCCTGCTGCGCGCAATCGTCTGCCGGGTTTCGCCCACGAACGGCACAGTCACCGCACTTCACAGTAAATCCTGCGAAGCGCTTTTGAGACGCGACAAGGCGCCGGATCAAAATGCAAGAATTATTATGATTATTATTATTATTGCAAGAGAAAGAAAATGTTATTCCCGGGTCAGGGCGAAACCTTGGGCGAGTTTCCTTACTCCACACGGCTCGGTTTACCAGCAGTACGTAAGAACCCGGTTGTTAGTCGATTGGCGGATCGCTTTCTGGGGGTAATGATCCCTTCCCCACCAAGAAAAACATTGGTCACTCGATCCGCGGCTGTTTGTGGGAGGGACGCTGCCGTGCGCAATCGGCTGCCGCGTTTCGCCCACAAACTACACGGCCGATCCGCTTCACGGCACATCCTGTGAAGCGCTTGGGGACGTCTCGACGACGCGTTGCTGCGATTGCTGATGAAGCGCTGATGAGATCCTCTCGTTTGCGCTAACCGTTATATAATAATAATAATAATATTATTAATAATAATACCCGTAGTGACTGTGCGAGGCCAAAGATACCCAGACTTATTGTATTTATTATATTATTATATGGGCAATAAGTTATTGCATCGGTCCAAATAATTATTTATTGGAGGACTAATGGATTATTGCAGAGCCAATAAGTTGTTGTGTAGATTTATTGCATGGATGATAAATTATTGCACGGGCAATAGATTGCTTGGCCAAAGGTTTATTGCCTAGGTATATTACATGGGCAGTAGATTATTGCTGAGCCAAAGATTTATTTGTTGCCTAGATGGCTAATAAATTATTGCAAGGTAATAGATGGTCAAATATAGAATACTGAATGGGAAAAAGATTTATTGCATGGGTAGTAGGTTATTTGCAGAGCCAAAGATGTATTGCCTGGATTTATTGCATGTGTAGCACGTTATTGCATGGGTAATAGATTATTGCACGAAAAACAATTTATTGCCTGGATGACTGAGTACACGGAAAATTATTAATTGCATGAGCAATGCATTATTGCGCAGCCAAAGATTGATTGCATGGGTGACAGAGTATTGCACGGGGAACGATTTTACTGCAAGGGTAAGAGATTATTGCGTGGACCAAAGATTTATTGCACGGGTTATAGAGTATTGAACGGCAAAAGATGCATTGCAGGAGTAACCGAGTGGGGCACAGCCAAATATTTATTGGATTGGTAATAGAGTATTGCACGACTGAAGATTTACTGCAAGGGGTAACCGGGCATTGCGGGGACCGGAGATGGATCGCATCGGCCGCGGACTATTGCATTTATTGCGCGATTCACTCGATTGCGGGAGGGACGCGAGAGCATTGCGGGGACCGGAGACGCATCGCACCGGCCGCGGAGTGTTGCGCTTACTGCGCGATTCACTCGATTGCAGGAGGGACGGGAGAGCATTGCGGGGACCAGAGACGCATCGCACCGGCCGCGGAGTGTTGCGCTTACTGCGCGATTCACTCCATTGCAGGAGGGACGCGAGAGCATTGCATGGACCAGAGATGCATCGCATTGCATTGTGTTGCATTGGTCTGGAGCTGCAGGTGATTGACAGCTGCGCAGCCGCACTCAAGGCTGATGAGCCAGTCTGCAAACTGCAGCTCACAGCAAAGCTCCTTCCCCCCCCACCCCCACAGCAATCACAGCAACACAGGGGGGAAAGAAGGGAAGGTGAAAATAAAGTGATTGCAACACCCGGAGGGATTTGCATTAATGCAACACAGGCTGTAGGGGGAGGAGGAGGAGGAGGTGGTGGTGATGATGGTGGTGGTGATGGGGGGGGAGTGCAAAAGAAAAAACGCACACCTTCCAAAATGAGGATTTTCCTGCAAAATAAGGTAAGAATTTTTAATGTCACTGCGTTTTTAATTTTTAAAAAAAATAGGTGTGTGTGTGTGTATACATATATATATATATATGCAAATAAAATTGCACAGGAAAGAGGGGAGAGGAGAGGATTTATTGCAGCCTTTTTATTTAGCATCACAATCTCTTATCATATGTGCATATAAGTTGAATGCATATCAGGATAAAGATAGAGGGAGAAAGATTGATAGGGTAGAGGTTGATAGAGATAAGATGGTAATAATCCTTCCATTTCCTGGAGCACCTTATCACCTGGTGATTATATATTTATTGATATGTGTGTGTATATATATATATTATGCATTTTATTGTTATTTATTGATCTTAAAACAGCAACAGGATCAATAAATGTCAGTAACAATGCAAATTGCAATTGGTGCATTTAAGGCAGCAGAGGAGTGGCAGTAGTCCTGTCTGCCTTACCTATTGCCTGTTACAGGTGCCCTTGTGTGAGTATATATGTGTGTGTGTGAGAGTGTATTTGTGAGTATGTATGTGTGTGAGTGTATGTATGTATTTGTATATGTGTGTGTGTATGTATGTGTATATATGTGAGTGTTTATGTGTGTGTGTGTGTGTATATGTGTGTGTATGTCTGAGTGAGTGTGCATGTGTGTGTGTGCGCGCGTACGTGTGTGTGTGAGTGTGTATACGTGTGTGAGCGTGTGTATGTGTATGCATGTTTATATATGTTTGAGTGCGTACGTGTGTGAGTGTGTATATACGTGTTGAGTGCGTTTATGTGTATGTATGTGTATATGTGTGTGAGTGTGTGAGTGTGTGTGTGTGTATTGGGCAGTTATGGTGCAATGCAGTCCTTTTAACACACACGGAGAGAGGGGGTGATCTGTCTGGAGTTTGAATGCATTTTATTCTGTGCATTTGCAGGTTCCCGTATCTTTCTGTCCACCCCTCTCTCTCTCTCTCTCTCTCTCCTCCTCCTCCTCTGACCATCAGTAAGGTCACCGTCAATGACTTTCCTTGTGGTTGTCTGATTGGGAATTTTTTTTGGACGCAATCCAATCAAAAAAAAAAATCTCTGATGGACGTGGGTGCGTAAAATTCCACGTGCTAGTTCCACTTTATTCCCCCGACACGGTTCGCAATGTTTAAGGGGTTGGAAATAATACTGTATTATTATAATAACAATAGTAATTAATAATAGTAATAATCCTTGAATTTGACACGGCGCCTCATCGCGTCTTCGAGACGTCTCAAAGCGCTTCACGGGTTACGCTGAAAAGTGTGGTGACCGGATATTAATAATAATTTGGCTGCTCAATCCACGACTGATATTATTATTATTATTATTGGCAAGTGGCGGCTGAGGTGGGGGGGTGTGGGGAGGAAGTTTATTTTAATTTATAATGCTTCCGTTCGATTGACCTGATAAGATGTTAAACCAAAGTCCCATCTGCCTGTTCAGCTTATAGCACACTTCGGTGTCTCAGTAATGTCTTGTTTTCTTGTGGGTCAGCCTGGCTCAGTGGGTAGCTCTCTCTCTCTCTCTCTCTCTCTCGACAGTATGTCCTGTGAAGCGCTTCGAGACGCCTCGACGGCATGACAAAGCACTGTATCAAATGTAAGGATTCTTTCTCTCTCAGCCTCTCTCCTCTAATTTAATTAAGGTTTCTCAGACGCAGCGTGTGCAAAGACAAAAATACACCTCATTTCTTGCGAGTTATTGATTGGGACGTGCACAGAGAGAGAGAGAGAGAGAGAGCGCGAGAGAGAGAGAGAGAGAGAGAGAGAGAGACAGATGTCTGCCTTGCTGACGCTCAGTCACACGAGAGAAAAAGATTTCCATCGTCAAATGAATTTGTTTGATTGCATTTTAATGCCCATCGGTCTTGAAGCATAGCTGTCGCCCGGCGATGTTTCCAGTCAATCTGTGTCTATAGTCAGAGCCGCTACGCTGCCCCACGGAGATCGATCGAAGCAGTAAAGGGAATTAATTGCACTGATCGACCCGCAAGTGGTTATGTTTGCGAATCTCTTACCTCGCCTTCGAGACGTCTCAAAGCGCTTCACAGGATATACAGTAAAGTGGCGTGACTGTGCATGTTGTGGGCAAAACTAACCCTAATCCCACCCACGCATGGAAATCCCAGAGAATGGAATGGAACGCGCTCTCTCTCTCTCTCTCGCTCTCTCTCTCTGTTTACCTAATTCCAGAGAGTATCAGGCGCAGGTTGGCACGAGCCAAGGCTTGTCGGGGGGGGTGGGGGGAGAGCCCAGAGCGTACGTTGGGAGTAACTGCTGGAGTCTAACCAGCTAAACCCACATTGTCGGCCAGGACACCGGGAGAGACAGAGAGAGAGAAACTCCTTTACTTTTCGAACGGCGCCGCGAGATCTTTAACGTCCACCTGAACAGGCGCAGACGGGGAGTGAGGTTTAACGTCTCATCCGAAGGACGGAGTCTCCGACAATGAACCATACCCCCCCCCAACCCACCCCCAGCGCTGCACTGGAGCATCAGCTTAGACTGTGTGATTCCAAGCCCTGACAGCGGGGGCTTGAACCCACAACCTTCTGACTCAGATATGAGAGAGAGAGAGAGAGAGCGAGACCGACTGAGCCAGGCTGACACACAATTATTTAGTGTAATGATTGTTGTTATTAAAGCGGAGAGGTGTTTTATTGCGGCTTGGCGGATCCAGTCTCTCGGCGGACGGTGGGTGTCTCTTTACGGTGTTGGAATGGGAGCTGACAGCCCAGGAAATGCGGTCGGGAGTTGGGGGGCGGGGGGGGGGGGGGGGGCAGGTGATGTGCACGTTTCACAGCAAAGTGCACAGAGGTTTTGTTCCCAATCACAGCATTCATTACCTTGGTGCTGAACCGGCTAACGCTGACCGTACAGTACGGCGTGTTAATTGAGAGGCAGAGAGAGAGAGAGAGAGAGAGAGAGAGCGCTTGGGATGGGTTGGCTATCTATCAGCCTGGATAATAATAGTAATTATCATCATCATATATTTGAAGATCTCTCTCTCTCTCTCTCTCTGTCGAGTCTGTATAGGTGTGTGTGAGTGTGTGTCACAGTCTGTCTTAGTCTTTCTCTGACCATTCTCTCTCTCTCTCTCTCTCTCTCGCTCTCTCTTTCTCTCCGACCACCGTCTTTCGGATGAGATGTTAAACCGTCAGGTGGACGTTAAAGATCCAGGGCGCTGTTCGAAAAGAGAAGGGAGTTTTTCTCTCTCTCTCTCTCCTGGTGTCCTGGCTGACATTCCCACAAATAAAATCGGTCACTCACTCCATGGCTGTGCGTAGGACGTTGCTGTGTGTAACTGGCTGCCCCGTTTGCCTACACACACTTACTAAACTTTGCAGTAAATCCTGTGAAGCGCCTTGAGACGTCCCCACGACCTGATGAGGGGCTACATACAACAACAAGATTCCATTTATTAATGCAAAATTACACGTGTGTATCACCTTTCACGTCGTTTCACATATCAAATGCAAGGATTATTATGATTATTATTACCTCCGCCGCACTCTGCCTCTTCCTCTCTGACTCTCTCTGTCTCTCAGGTTTGTCCCCCGGATGGAGTTGCTGCACAGGGAGAGAGCTAAGGATGCCAGTCAGCAGTGAGCGGACTTTGTAACTGTAAGTAAACCGAGCTTTGTCGCTTGTGGGACTTGTAAGAGCAATCCATTAATTTATATCATTCATCACTGTGTGTGTGCCGTCTAGGCCTGTAGCTCAGTGCTCGAGGGGGCCTTCGATTCCCGGGCGAAATCTTAGTCAAGTTTCCTTACTCCGCACGCCTCTGTTTACCGGCAGTCAGTATGAAGTCGAATGGCGGATCGCTTTCCGGGGGTAATAATCCCTTCAAAAACAGTTGTTCACTCAGTCCACGACTGTTTGTGGGACACTGCAGTGCGCCTTTCGCTGTGTACAAAATGCCCAGTCACTCCACTTTCCAGTATATTCTGTGAAGCACTTCGAAACGCCTCGATGACTGACCGAGGCGAGAGTGCTACCAACAGGCTGACACACACACACACACATACACACACACTTTGAGACGTTTTGATGTGATCAGTATTATATCAAACCCAGGGATATTTTTATTGCAGTCCGGATAATAATAATAATCCTTGCATTTGATTTCGCGCTTTGTCACGTCTTCGAGACGTCTCAAAGCTCTTCATAGAATGTACTGTAAAGTGTAGTGACTGTGTATTTTATGGGCGAGACGTAGCAGCCAATTGCGCACAGCAGCGTCCCCACAAACAGCCGTGGAGTGGGTGACCATTTTTTTTGTTTTACACACACTACACACACCATAAAAAACACTTACACACACCACGCGCGCATACACAACACACACACACACACCCCCCACGCACACTACCACACACACACGGGCAATCAAGTTCCTCAGCCTGTCTCTTGTAATATCTGGCGAGCCTTCAAATATATTTGATGTGACTGGAGCGACAATAATCGCCCGGATTAGGGTGGAATTACACTTAAGATTGGTAGAAGAGGAGGAGTAAGTTTAATGAGGGACACAGAGATAGACTTGTGTAATAGTATTAGGAGATATGGAGATAAGGGCTTGGGTTAGGGTATTAGGTGAATTGGAGGGCTGGAGAGGAAGGATAATAAGAGCTGTGGCGAAAGGATCTTCGGGAATGACATTAAGGGATTTACAAAGAATGTACAGCACGGAAACCGGTCACTCGGCCCAACCAGACTGTGCCTGTCTTTATACTCCACGTGATTCTTCACCCATACCCCACTCCCTCCCACGCCCTTCTATTCCCCTCTCCCTCCTGTGAAGCTGCAGCTTCCTCTCGAATCGTTCAGTAATAATCCTCGCATCCGACACAGCGTCTCGTCACGTCGTCGAGACGTCTCAAAGCGCTTCACAGGAGGCTGCACTGCGAAGTGGGGTGACTATATTTTGTGGGCGAAACTTGGCAGCCAATTGCGCACAGGGGCGTCCCCACAAACAGCTATAGGGACCCAGTTATTAGTCAATCGCTTTCCAGGGGGTAATAATCCCTTGTGGGTCACTCAATCCACGGCTGTTTGTGGGGGACACCGCTGTGCGCAATTGGCTGCTGCGTTTCGCCCACAAAATCCACAGTCAATTCACTTCACAGTGTATCCTGTGAAGCGTTTTGAGACGTCTCGAAGGCGCGATGAGGCGCTGTGTGAAATGCGACGATTGTTATTATTAATAATAATAAAAGGCATCAGCTCATTGAAGCAGCTTCAGTATTCTGCCGCCGGGTTAGTATTTTAGTGGAGTTTACTGGTGGCACTGGGTCTCTGGGTAACCAGTGTAAACATTTACACAGTCTGTCTCGACCCTGTGGTTAAAAAAAATTGCCACAGCCAACAGTTGTCTCTGGGTGTTGAGAATCCAGTCAATTTACTGTATTAGGGAGTGATTTATTTCTACACTGCTCTCCTTGCACACGTGCGCAACTCTCTCTCACTCTCTCGCTTTGCATCTCTCTCTTTGTAGATGTCTCTCTCCCTCTCTCTCTCTCTCTCCGTCTGTCTGTGTAGGTCTCTGTATTTGCGTCTCTGTGTGAGCGCCTCTCTGTCTCTCTGTGTAGGTCTCTGTCTCTCCCCTCTCACTCTCTCTGTGCATCTCTTTATGTAGATGTCTGTCACACTCTCTCTGTCTCTCTCCTCTCTGTAGAGAGCTATGTAGATGTCTGTCTCTCTCTCCTCTCTCTGTGCATCTCTCTATGTAGATGTCTGTCTCTCTCTCTCTTTCTCTCCCTCTGTCTTTCTGATTTTAAAGTGTGACCCATTCCCTGTAATTAGTTGAGTGTGTGTTGACCCTGAGGCAGTGACACAGAATAGTCTGCGCTGATGTGTTGAATGCCTTTTGTCTGCCGAGTTCATCTCTCTTGGTGTAGAGAGTGTGATTGTTGGTCCCTAAGTGTGTTTGCAGTCAATGTGTGTCTGTCCCTTGGGGGTGGCGGTGTGCGGGGGGTGGGGGGGGGTTTGGCGGAGGAGGAGGGGGGGATTTGGGGGGTGTCTCTGCTTAATAGTCCATTTGGGGGAAGCGGAGGAGGAGAGGGGAGAAGGGAGCGAGTGATTGAGAAAGAGGAGAGCGTTTGATAACATGAAAGGTAATGGGGTGCAGCGGTGGGGGTGATGGGGGGGGGGTGGGGACTTATTACCCTGAACCAATTCACGTGTGAAGTGGGGATTAAGGTAATTACAATCCAGTGAATTATCAGCCTCTCAGCTGCTTTACCGCTTTGCGCCTGGTTCCAGCGATGTAGTGAGAGAGAGAGAGGGGGAGGGAAAGGGAGGGAGGGTGAGAGAGTGATGGAGAGCGATGGAGAGGGGCTGAGGCACGTGGCACAGGGCGTCTTGCTGTCTCGCGGCGACGCCGGAGTGTGGTTTGGTTAGAGCACTCGCCTCGCAAGCGAGAGGAGCCGGGTTCGATTCCCCGGGTCAGGGTGAAACCTTTTCCGTACTCCACACACCAGGTTACCAGCATTAAGTAGGAACCCGGTTGTTAGGCGATTGGCGGATGGCTTTCCGGGGGGTAAAATAATCCCTTCCCAAAAAAATTAATAAATTTGGGTACTCAATCCCACGGCTGTTGGTTGGGACGCTGCTGTGCGCAATTGGCTGCCGTGTTTCACTCCCCCCCCCCACCCAAAAAAAACACGCGGTCACTCCACTGTATCCTATGAGGTCTCGGTGACGTGATGAGGCGCCTTATCAATTGCGAGGATTATTATTATTTTCTCGATGGGCTTGCGACTTGCTGTTTGCTATCTCCCGAATCGCCTCAATTTATTTCCCCCCCCCCCAAAAAAAAATACCAATGATCTTTCATATCGAATTAAGCTTATTTTTCCCTCTCCTCTTCCCTCCCTCCCTCCCTCCCTCCCTCCCTCTGCCTTTCTTTGTGTTATTGCTTTCCTTTTTTTTTTGGGGGGGGGGAGATCAGTTTGACTGGAGGCAGTAATTAAGCATTGTTCCCTTTGGCTTCTCTCTCTCTTTCTCTCTCTCTTTCTCTCGCTCTCGCTCTGCCTCTCTCCCTCTCTCCCTCTGTTGTCTCTGTTGCCTATTTTAGGTGTGTGGATGCTCAGCCCTCAGCCCCCCCCCCCCCCACACCCCCCGTCCATCCCCTCCCCTCCCCTCCCACCCCCCACCCCAAAAAAAACGCACGGAGAGACCCGAGACTTGCTTAATGTGAGGGCGTTTGCTTTCAACTGGGGGAGGAGAGGAGCAGTGCCGAGCATGGCAATGCAGTGTGATTCTGAACCTGCTTTCAGCTTACTGACGGTAAATAATTCACGTTTATTTCTTTTCTATCGCTGTTGCATTCTCCCCTACCCCTCCCTCCCTCCTCTCCACCCCACCCCACTCCTCTCCCCCCCCCCCCCCCCACCACCACCACCACCTCCCCTCCCACTCCCCATCCTCCCTCCCACTGCCCACCCCCCCCCCTCCCCGGAGAAACAAAATTACCCGTTGAATAACATGTCACGTTCCATTTCATGCAGCGATGCATTGAAATTGCAGTGCGCGCGCGTGTGCGCTTTTGCGCGTGCGTTCGCGTGTGCGTGGGCGCGCGCGCGGGCTCGTGTGCGCGCGTCTGTATTGTGTCGATGTGGTGCGGTGTGCGTATACTCTTAGTGAGAGATGGTCGTGCGGAGAGCATTAGGTTAAGGTCCAGGTCTATGTGGGGAGAGGGAGTATCGGTGGGTGATGGAGGGTGCGGGTGGTGGTGGCGGGGGTGGGGGGGGCTCGCTTTGTGCCTTGCAGCCAAAGAAGATGTCATCTGATCTCAGAGGGGAATAAAGATGCTCGCGTCCTTGACAGGAATGGGCTCATTAACCAGGGCCTTGCCGTACAGTCTCTCTCTCTCTCTCCTCCCTGTTACACACGTATATTGGTGAACGGCAGCTGTTCTCAGCCTTCGATGGTTGTCGCAACGTGTTGTTGTGGATGGTCTGTCGTTTCGTTTTACGCGTAAGAAGTCGCTCTCGTCTCCCCTCGTCTACTTTGGAGCCCTGCCACCCTGGGCCACTCTCCCTCCAGCCCTCCACCTCGTCCCCTTCCTTCGTTCCCTCCCTCCCTTCCTCCCTCCCCATCTTCAGGGGTCGTGGCTGAAGAGCTTTTCTTTGATCGTGACTAACTGGGCCGCTATACCTCTTGAGGAGCGCTGTGTTGTTCTCACCAAACATGACCTTGTCACCAGCGCAGACACGATGGGGGGAGAGAGAGAGACAGAGAGAGAAAACGCAGGGGATTGGGGTTAGAGTCGAGCGCTCCAGTGGGGTCGCGAGCCCCAGCACAGACGCGATGGGCCGAATGGCCTCTTTTTGTGCTGTCATTTCTGCTGTGTGGTTCTCCGTGTGGAAATATCTGGAATGAAGCCCAGGTGTGATACCAGCATTGAGTGAGGTGTTGTGTGGGGTGGGGGGGGGAGGAGGGGGAGGAGTGGGGGGGGTAGGGTGTGTGGGTATCACGGACAGACAGAGAGAAAGTTGAATCAATCATCCCTTTGTGTTTCGTGAAAGGATTTGTTATTTAATGCTCTCGAGGATGAGACGTCTTTTTTTTTAAAAAAAAGCGTGTGAGATCGACAAGGAGTTAGAATTTTCTGTTCA